GGAATAAAGGTAAGGGGAGAGGAAGAGAGGTAAGAGAAGGAGAGAGAGAGGGAGACGATAGTCGGAGAGAGAGAGAGAGAATGAAAAGAGGAAGAACGGAGACCAGTCTGGCGCGGTGTATCCGGTTTTTGCGGGCGTCAGATGACAGTCGCTTATTTACCGGGGCCCGCGGCCATCTTGCTGCGATCTGACTTAAGGAGGAGGCCCCGAACACGCGGAAAAAAAAGAAGGGGCGATCAGAGATCCCGTGGCTCGATGCGAGAGACCGAGGCGATGGACGTGGAGGCCCCGCTCGAATTAATCGATCGGTTATCAACGTCCCCGGGATTCGTGGAATGGAAGAAATATGGCAGCCGTGGGGCTGCCGATGTTATATACACCGGCCGTGGCCGCGACGGGACCACGGCTCGTATGATTTCTTATTGTTCCTTCGCGGCTGGAATTGTTACCCTTCGGTTAACGACGCTGTCTCGTGTTCCTGTCTTCCTCCCGGTGCCCCTTTTTCTTCTCTCTTTCAACGACCATCCTCGTCATCGTCGGCGCTCGCGTCGACGGCGTCCTTCCTTTTTCTAATCCGTCGCCGATAATTCCGTGACCGGGATCCGAATACGCGACGTATTTCCTGCGACTTCGTTATCCAACGCAAACCCGCGTACCGATTCACCGCGCGAATTACGATCCTATTCGCGATAACGCCGAACTGTCGCAGAAAAACGGGCCCCGTCTAACCGCGTCGATTTCCCGATTTCGTCGCTACCCGACGCATTCTAGGAATATGGAAAAAAGCCAACGCGAGTAATACGGTCGGTAGCGTGTTGAATTCGCAAATCGCGAAAGACCGTGAAAGACGGAAAATGCGACTTATCCTGTTTTTCCGGTGCGCACCTCGATCCGAATATATATATCCGCTCGTTAATTATCCACGAGGACGAACGAGCCGCGAAGAGGCGAAATCAATTATGCCCGCGTGTCCTGCTGCAGCGTGTCCATTGAGGGAACGAAGGGGATTCCAGGTAACAGATAAACCACGTCGAGGAGGAAACGCGAGAGCGGCCGATGCACGCCGGATAGTGGTCGACGAGCACGCTTTAATTACCGCTAATTAACATGTTCCTGCCAGGTCGAAGTCAGCACCGTTTACGGCCAACTACTCCGGAATGTTCATCCAGCCACGGAGAGCAAACTCGATTATTCTACCTCCGTTGCCCCGGCCGTTTTCTTTTTACTCCCGCTCCAATCATCGCTGCGTCGCTCCTGGAATTTGGAACAAATTGCGTTCCCAAAGGCCGAGTATCCTTCTCGGAACGAAAATTCCACCTTCGGTTTCTTTCGCTCGAATTACGGAAGACTGACCCGAGCCATCGGTAGGAACCTAGCAAGGCATCACCGAATCCCGCGTGTCAACGAGAGCAGGCTGGCTGATCTATCCGATAGATTCCGACAGCCAGGACGACACGGGGATGGTGTCGAAGGATGATCCAGAAAATGGAAGAGAGACCGTAGAAGAATGAAACGCACTCCCTCTAGCCACCCACGCGAACAGAGATCTTTCATTTGTCATCTCAGCTTTGCGTTTGACTCGTCGCTCTCTCCCCATCGCGGAGATAGTTTTGTCATCGCGCCAGTCCCATCGTTGGATCGTCCGACGACGTCTGGGAACTCGCAGAGACATCCTCGAGTTAGGTCTCCGCTGCGTCGCGACGTCTCCTCGCTTCCGGATGGCCAGCGGTGACCCTGGCTACCGTCACCGTGTCCGAGTTCACCAAGGTCGCGCAAACGGTCAACGCTTCTCTGCCAACCACTCTTTC